GCGATAAACTCAGAAGGAAGGAAGGATATCCACAGGAGAGTGTGTGTATACATGTGTGCAGAAAACGAAAAGTTACCAAAAAAAAAAAAAAAGCCAAACAGAAAATGAAAAAAAAATCGACGCAACAGATCCCCACGTGGAAAATAAAACAAAAAGTGCATATACAAAAGAGCGTATCAATCTATCAAGTACCTGCAACAGAGCGACAACGTTATTGGCAGTATCGAGCTGATTAAAGAACTCGCCCTGACTCTGTCCCGTCTCGATACTAAGACTGGAAGGCAGACTTTCGTCGATATAAAACTCATCGCTAACAAACTCGTTGGAGGGTTGGTGACCCAAAAAAGGCGAGTTGGGACTTTTCACTTGGATATCTTTGGGACTCTGGGGCGTAATGGATTTGGGCATCGGATTGATTGGGTGGTTCTGCATTTGTTGGTGATGCGAGTTGAAATAACTGTCAGGGAGGACGGAAGCTAAGCAGGAGGAATTTTTCAAGTGAAGGGAGGTTTCAGTGTGAGCAGGGGTGGTGCTAGTGACGCTCAAGGTTTTTAGAAAAGGTGCGTTGGGAGTGTGTTTCCGGGAGTTTTGGAACGTGCGAGGGGGCTTTTGAGGAGGAACGGGGCTTCTCTCACCAACCTCAGACGTTGCTATGGTGGGTTCTTCTTGGCGCGTTTCTAAATCGGGGCTCAAGTTGCCGATTCTCTCGAAACCTTCTGAACCAGAGTCTGAATCGCATTCCCTGTAAAATAATCATTGTTATCAAATTTATTACACAAAACTGTGGGACAGAAAAAACAAACTGGCCGGTACTATTTTCCTTCTCAGGCAGCTTAGAAATGGTATTGATATTTCAACCCCAAAAACTCTTTCGTTCAAAATTAAACTATGGAGCTATTCTATGGGGAAATTCTCCTCACTGTTACCATTTTTTGTCAGCAAAAGGAAGCGTTTGGACTATTGGCTTAAGCAACAAATAATTTGAAAGGTCCTAGGTGCCGGTCATTACACCACTCTCCTCAGTAATCTAAGGTTACTACTAACTGAAAAAGCTGTGAATGCAACTAGACTACCGCCATCTACCGGGTGTCCCACATTTTATGTGACAGGCAATATCTGGTTTGTTGAAGGAGATACACAAAAATGTTTCATACAAAAGTTTTAGGGGTTCATGAGAGCTATATTTTGATATAATTTTTAAATATACAGGGTGTTTGGTGTAGGTGCTACAGACCAAAATTCCATTTTTTAAAATAGAA